AGAGAATAATCTCATTACTGCAGCATCTTCTCTATAATTTACAGAGCTTGTTTCCGCTCTGCTTTCTTGCGGCTCTAACAAGCTGTAGCTCCATCTATCCAATAACTCTGTTTTAATTCTAGTTCAGGCTATTTGACTCTCTGCTAACATGTTCAGATTATCTTTTCAAGGAGGGGAATCTCCTGAAACCCTGCAAAGTTTCTTTGAATGAACAATAAATTGGTAAATGGGTTTTTTTCTTACTCTGCCTGAGCTGGAGTAAGACAGCATGCTCAGTGCTCGGAGAAATCAAGGAGGTAGATCACCTGCATCCTACCATCTATCTAGCCTCATGAGACCATCCTGATCCCGCGAGCTTTCAAGGTTTCACTCGCAGATCAGTCTGGAGACTCTCCGTTAAAGAAAATTTGGAGCCGTTCACCAAACGAACGTCCAATCAGCGTTGGCTTTGAGGCGGGTTGAGGTGTGACGCAACGAGAAGCGCGACAGTTCAGTCTAAAGAACATGGCGGCTTCAGCCGATGAAACTAGCGTTAGCGTGGCTATCGAGCAAGTTTTATGGGAATTACAGAGTATTTCTTCACTGAAAGAAGAGCAAAACACTGCTCTGGAGGCTTTTCTCAGAGGAAAAGATGTTTTTGCTCTTCTCCCGACTGGTTTCACCAAGAGTTTGATCTATTAATTGGCTCCTCTTCGTTGTCGCTCTGTTAGTACGTCATATGCTTCGTTGATCTGATTGGTTTATTTGGCCCGTCTATCACCAACATAGGCCAATCAGCTAACCAGTATTTTCGCCCCTTCCCCAAATTACTTCAACGGAAGGTTTCCAGATGGATATGAGGAGCAAATCCATCTGGCGGAGTCAGGTTACCATCTATCTGCTGCATCCACAGACTCGTTTCTAGGGGGATTCTTAATGCAGGGAAGCCAGTGAACCTAAGTCAGGTTTTTCTGAGTGTGGGAGGAAGCGGGAGTACCCAGAGATTACCCCCCTCCATGGACATCTGTGAACTTCTCCCATCTGCTCTAAACAGGAGAGGAAACAAAGTCATCTCAGCCAAACTGTTATTTTCTCTGCCGGCCTTCATCGGTTCTCCGGCTCAGGGTTTCTCTGGGCTTTACTGACCTGCATGTTCTCTTTCTGGAATCGATCTCGGCGTCTGTGCAGCAAACATTTCCATGAATAGTAAATGATGTCTCGGGGCTGAGCGGGATAACACACTCTGCTGTTTGTGGGTGTGTTGTGTTTTAATTTACTGCCGTTGGAGCGAGTTATTTGTTGTGCCGCCCACACGAGCCGCTTCGGCCGTCCCCGCGGTGCCGTTCTCAGCTCTGCTTACACGACAGACGGCGGTTCTGCCTCCTCAGGAAGCCGGACGAGGGTTTGGGTTTTACAGCCGTAATTAGAGGCAGGTCGTCCGGCTGCAGAATCAACAGAAGCAGGAAGTTAAAAGCCTCTTTAGAGGTTCTGTCCCTTACTTTTATGCTCAGGGTTTATGGAGGCTATCCTCCACCTTCTCTTCTTATTTAAACTCCTGTACAAAATCTCCCTCCTCTTTATTATCTCCCGTGATTCTCAGGCTTTATCTCCTTTATTCGTCAGACTCCTTTGTTTTCTTTTTGTCATCTAATCTTTCTGCCTTCACCCTCCTTAATCTTTGCGTTCCTTTTATCGCCTCTCCTCCTTTCACCTTTCCTGTTCCCTGTATTTATCTCACCACTCCTTTTATTTCCTTTTTTTCCCACTCTTTGTCCTTTCGCTCTCTATTTTTCCTTTCCAGTAATTCCCGTCACCTCTTCACCTCTTTCTCCTAATCTTTGCTCTCCATTCATCTTCTTTTCTTCCCCATCTCAGCACCTTTCATGGCTCCTAACGGCATCCAGCGCATACATCAGCCTCCCTAATTAACTAATAAATCATACTTGGGGAGTTTAAATGAGTGTTGGAGGGCTTTCTGCTCTCGCTTTGAGCCACAATAACAGCAGATATTTGTGGTGCCTTCAAAGCCTCTGTGAAGGATGTTGTGTTCCTGTTTGTCCTCCGCGGTTATTGTTAATTATTCACTTAGTTTGGAAAATTAAAAGATTGCTCCTTTGACACGGATTTCTTTAAACACATTTTAACCTTGAAGAAAATAAACTGCGTCATCAGCGTAACATGAACACCAAACAAACAATCTGTGTCTTTTGAACCCGTTTACAGATGAGAGAGCAGCATCTTATTTCAATGCCCACAGCATTACAGATTATCTACCATACCTAACAGTGGGTCACTTTGTTTATTAATCTGGATTAGGGCTGAAACAATTAATTTGATTAATCGAGTATTAAAACTAATTTAGTAATTGATTAATCATTAACTTGAGTATAGAGCTTAAAATATAACTTAAACTGACAGAGAGACCCACCTTGAACAGCAATTGTATCAAAATTGTAATAAGATAAAAAAACTTTTTCTTATCTGTCAGTATGCTCCATCTGGAGCTCCTCAAGTGGAAAATTTTTTAGTTTGACCTGGTTTAGTTTAGTAAAAGTCTTCCTTAAGGAACCTTTGACTATCTTATTATCAATGGAATCTATGGATTAATCTAAAAAATAATCAACAGATTAATCGATTTGTAGAATAATCCTGAGTTGCAGCTCTAATCTGGACTCAGCTGAACAGAGGAGAGGATGTTAGAGCAGGGAATATCGGTAGAAAAAAAAAAAAAAAGAGGAAACGTAATGTAAGAAATCAATGAAAAAGAAGTTTGATAATGTCTCTTGGGGAAAGATGGCAACTGAAGGTCAGCTTTCTGTCCCTTTACTGATCCTTGGATCATTGGACCAGCGCTGTGAATCCGACCCAATCCCACAGTCCCAGTTTAATCCAGAGGAGTTAAAAAACTCCACATGTGGGACAGAAAAGTGTTTAATGGGTCTGATGGAGACTTGGTGACTGGCTAGTCCAGGGGTCGGCAACCTGCGGCTCTTTAGCCTGCCCCTTGTGGCTCCCTGGAGCTTTTTCAAAAATTTATGAAAATCTGTTTTTTTTTTGGTTTTAATATGGTGTGCAGGTTGCAAACAAAAATTCATGTTTTCCAATGCTTTAAACATTTGTATTATAAATAAATGTAAACAATAATTTGCGTCAAAGCCATAGAGATCGCTCGGTGAAGCGATGCCCGATGGGAGCGTTCACTGTTCCTCCGTCACCTCAGGCTACTATGTTACGTTTGCTCCAAGATAAACATTTCATCATGAATGCTTATTATATATTAAAGCCCATATCGTCCTTTTCTATAGTGGGATGACGCACTTAGAGCCCGTGTTGCTATATGAGGCTTATATAAGACTTTTACATTTTTGCGGCTCCAGACAGATTTTTTTTTTTTTGTCCAATATCGCTCTTTGAGCAGTTTGGGTTGCCGACCCCTGATCTAGTCATTACATCCATTTGTTCTAAGGCCAATCCAGGTTTGGCCGTCCTGCACCATGCTGGTGAAGATTCTCCTGACCTTCTGCAGAAGTAAAGAAGCAGATTCACCGAGCGGCTCAGAATAACCTCTGATAAATGTGTGCTGCTTTTATAACAGTTGGGGGAAACGATAACTGCTGCACCTGTGGACCAATCAATCTTTTTTTAAGCTTAACTTTGGATTTTTCTCACCTTTTTGGGTTCTTTTCTCCTGCTGCAGTGAAATCAGAATTTATTTGATCTAATTTATAAATCTTTTTTTTTCTGTTTGAGGTTCTGTTCATCCTGCATATTTTCTGGTTTTCCTTCACTTTTGCTGATGAAACTTTTTCAATACTCACCTTCCAAGTGCCTGAAGTAGATACATTTCGGACCCTTTGTTCGATCAGAAGCAGCTCTGTATTGATCCAGGAAATGATCAGAAAGACAAACCAAACTCGGCTCAAAGTTTCCTCTGCCTCTTCTGGAAAATCCCACTTGGATGTTTCCTGCTGGCATCCGTCTCTGCTCTGCTTCCCTCGGCCTTCTGTCTAATTAAAGTGGGATTAATGAGTCTCGGTGTTTAAAAAATAACCCCCCCCACCCTGCCCGGTGCTCTAATGAGGCTCAGCACTGTGGCGACGGAGACGGAGTGACAGTGGGAGGATTTAACTGCAGCTTATCTGGATTTTCTGCTTTTTTGGATTTCCTGTGTTTACATGTAACAATAGCCACTGTTGTTGACTCCATCGTTCTGCTTCCTTCTGCTTTATCCGACTGGAATTAGTCATTTGATCCAATCTGCACCTTCACTGTGAAGCTCAACCAGATCCTCATATAATCAGGCCCTGTGAGGCTCTGTGATCCACCTGCTGATTCAGGCTGGGGCTCGATAAATCACACAGGAACTAAATATCAATAGTCGCCATAAACTTTGGGTCCCGGCGGCGGGGGATTCTCAGACTCCTTATTAAAGTCAGAAAGTCAATGTTATTTCATTTTTTAACTGATCTAGTTTAAACCCCAACTGGCTTTTATGTTTATCGGTCTGACAGAGCTGCTCACTAACAGAGCTATAGCTAATATCAAAGCTAACGGTTAGCGAATAAGTTGGAAGACCTTTGGTCTGGTCCAGAGTTGACAGAAGCTGCGTTTCATTCATGCAGTAACTTTGATACCTGCATTCTGTTTATATATACTTATATTTACTTATACGTATATTTTTTTCTACCCCTAAATGTAAGTTTTCTGCGGTTACACGCAAGGTACCCAGAGCAGGACTCTTGTCTGTGAGACTTTAGATCATTTAAATAATCGATTTATTTCTTCTCATCCTTGTTTTCTCTTTCTATGTTATTTGGTTTGAAAGAATCATCGTAAACTCTAAAATGTTTTAGTCTCAGAGATAAATCTGAAATAGTAGAAATGTTTCATATACACTGTCTTTCGACTGGTTCTGAAAATATCTCAGTATTTATTTAGAGCATAGACCTGGTGGGATTAGTAATCCAGCCTAAACTGGGACGGCTTCCTGTTCTGACCCGTTTCTCACCCTGTTTCCTCAGATGAAAGGATGCTGCAGGGAGCTGAGGACCGTCTGAGCCCCACCTGAACCCCATCCCTTACCTGACTGTCTGAGCCGCCGCCCCATCATGCACCTGCTGTGCCGCGGGCGCCTCAAGCTGCTGGTGGCGTCTCTGACCGCCGTGGTCCTGCTCACCTGGCTCTACTTGCTGGCAGGAAACCTGGAGAGTGAGTACCAGCAAAAAAAAGCCATGGGGTCTATAGATCCCGGGCTACGTAACAGGCTCGTTTTTTTTTATTCGGGTCACCACCTTTTCTCATTCATCTCAACACAAAGTCATCATTTGAATCACAGAGACGGTTTTCCATAAGGCTCCATTCTTTATCCTGGCGTCTAGTAGAGCCGCCGTGGCTCCACAGGAGAACCACTCAGCACTTCTGTCCAAACATAGCAGCCAGCGTGTTGACTGGAAGCTGGGGAAACCCACAGACATTTAATGCACCGCGGCTCCAGTCTGTTTTCCCTGATTTATGAGGCCTAGTTTAATAACGATCAATAAACTCCATCTGATTTTAACAGGATGTGAAGAATATGAACACATTTACAGTTATAATGACCGTAAACACAAACGTTCTGGTCTTTATCAGGTCATAATGTTATAATAATCAAACCTCAAATGTATGTAACGATGACGCTGCCTGTGAGAAAACACTGAGTACATCCCATCATTTATTAATTCCCCTCCAACTGAGCAACAGATAATAGTTTTCATCCGTCTTCCGGATGAAAACTATTATCAGTCTTAGTCACATTTCAGTCATCACTAAATGAGTCGGTTTTAGTCGACTAAAACTCAAAAAGGTTATAAACTGTTTTATGTTGCACTTCATGAAGCGGTTAACCTTTCAAATAACAACCAGATTATAATAATAATAATAATAATAGATTTTATTTGTAACGCACCTTATATTTCAAAGAAATCTCAAAGTGCTACAGAGATTAAAAGAAGAAGAAAAAAAAAAAATATATATATAAAAAAAAAAAATAATAGTAATAATAAAAAATAAAGATTAAATTGTAGGGCTTACAGTAATACATCTTGCACCAAGTGGTACCAAAACTAACAATTGAAACTAACAATTAAAACTACAATTTAAAACAAAACTTACAGTTCTAAAAAGGCCTGTTTAAAAAGGTGAGTCTTAAGACCTTTTTTAAAGGCCTCCACACCTTGTGGGGCTCTCAGGGACTCTGGAAGGGCATTCCAGAGCCGTGGAGCTACTGCCTGAAAAGCCCTATCCCCCATAGTGGCAAGTTTGGTCTTAGGTTGAGGCAGGCAGTAAAAGATAAAAGATTCTTTGCTGCTTATTTATAAAAAATTTAATTTAAGCTTTCTTAAATATCTTCAAGCATCCTTTTAGTGATTTACTTTAAAAAAAAAATCTGTTTTAATCCTTTGTTATGTTCCATACTGGTATTAACTTTAAAATGTTTGGTCATGAAAACCCTAACAAGCATAAAATTAACCGTATTATTTTTTCCATACGTTTAAACGAATTCTGCTTTTGTTTTGCCGTCAGACTGATGTCTGAATGTCAGGTGAAAGGTTGTTAATGACGTGATGAACCGCTCAGTTAGCTCAAGAGCATCAGGAGAATCAATCAGTTAAAAATTAACTGGACTGAGATAAGAATGTGTTCGTCTGCTTCCTTCAGACGAGGGTGTGAACATTCCCATCATGCCAGCAGCTGCAGCCGACAGGAATGTGGCGATATGAGGCTGGGAGGAAGAAACGGGGGGGGGAGAGATCTAAGAGAAGAAGGAGTCATGGAGAAAAGAGGACATTTTAGGAATTTGATATATGGAAAAAAATGATGATGATGGAGGGAAAAAGATCTAATGTTTAAATCACAACATATGAAATAATAATAGATTTTATTCATAATCGACTCTTTATTCTAAGGAATCCCAGAAGGCAAAAATTAAAATACAATAACAGAATCAGTAATTAACAGGAATGTCTGAATAATCCCCGGACTAGATAACCGGTCCTGTCTGAGACGTGAGATTTAAAGGTCAGAGCTACAACTTTTTCATCAAAACAATTTAAAGACAATAATCCATTAACAGAATGTCTACAGTGGTGCAGAATAAAAATATTAGTTTTACTGAAAAGCGTTTAGAAATCATTGTTTAACACGTTTTCATATTAACCTCCAACATGGAGGTGAAAGGATTCTGCAGCAACAGGAACAGCAGGTTGAAGTCACATTGCAGGATCCTAGAGGCTTCATCATAGAGCTGAAATCCGGCTTCTTCTTGATGCTACATTCCTCCAATTTAAGCCAAGAAGAAGAAAAAAGGAAGTAAAGCGAGGATGAAGCCTCTGGTGCCAAATTTAGAAAGTAAAGTTGCTCTGAAGCCGTTCAGAGGTTGTTGGTTTGCTTCCGAACATGTTCAATGTTTTCTAATTCTAAACATTGGCTCTGTTCGATATGTCTGGGACGCGTCCTCCGAAGGCCAGATTCGAAGGCCGATTACGTCATAACGCAGCGCCAAGGTCTGGTCGGATTCCAAGAGTCCTCGTTCTGCGGCCTACAAATGCGTCCTTGTTTTAGCCCAATTTGAAGGACGGGTCCGATGTATCCTCGCTATCCTTGGTTATCCCAGGATTCATTGCGAGACCAAGCAAGCCGGCTGCTCCGTGATCAGAGGAAATGGTACTTGGCGCTAAACAGTGGTGAAAATTGGGAGTTCACCAGGGGGGGGGGACTGGTTGACCATTTATGACCTCTAGAAACATTTCTTTATTTCTTGAAAATGATAGCAGCACAAACAAAATTTTTTGCTGCACAAACGTTTGACACAAATTTTTTCTAATTTGAAGAAGGTGGCCTTTTGACCTTTACATTTTCATTAATATCTTCAAAGCCAAAGAAGCACAAACGACAATTTTTGCTGCACAAACGGAGCTGAGTTATTTGACAGAAAAATGTATAAGAATAACATAATAGTGAAAAGTTAAAAGATAAACAATAAAATACTGTAAAGTGTTTTAACAATATAAAAACTGTTCACCTGGAGAATTAATAACCAATATGCAGCTATGGACATTTTTACAGTAATGGATATTTGAAAATAGCAGCAACATCAGAGATGTGCAGAATGACAGCAGCAGGTTATTTAACTAAGGTTTCTATCATTACATTTGATGTTGGCATCTTTATTCCACTCTGGATTCTCATGAGTGAAGTCTTTGTCCACTTTACAATAAAAAAAGGAAAATGAATGAAAAAGAAACAGTTTTGAAAAGTTGATAATCATTCTTTTCCTGCTTTTTGCAGCAACTGTCATGGTTGCTAGGATTCAAGGTTGGCGACAGAGCATAAGGCAGCTTTCACCGCTCTTTGCTCTGTCGCCTTACCTTGAATTCACAGCTAAAACTCTTCAGGTCTCCTTATTTTCAAGGACTTTGAAGGATCCAGTCCAGGTAGAGTGCGTCCTTGGAGGATGCAGCCCATGACTTGGTTATCTTTAGCATTACTAGACCTGGCAAATGAGAGCAGATGAGCACGAGTGCGCCACTTACTGGACAGGAGGGATTTAACTGTAGCTATCACCTTTAAGCTATGCCTAAGCTCTAAGAGGATAGATGGTCCATTGGTCAAACGCAGCTACGGATCTGTTCATCAGTCACACACCTGACTGATGCGCAGATTATTTACAGGCTTCAATCAGGTGTGCTAGAGCAGAGATGAATCTGAAAACATGAAAGGCTGGGGCCCCTGAGGACCCGCTTTAGGAGCCACTGACATGTTCAGCTGCTTTCAACAGTTTGAGTCAAACTTCCAGGATTTAAACCCGGTTCCAGTCCAGACCCCCGTCCCTGATAGAAACTGGGGATTTTAAAGAGTTGATCTAATGTCGAAAAATATGCATCCATCCATTTCCTTCGTTTCCACCTCGATGGAAAAAATCTGCTAGGAAATCATAATATTTGCATCTCTAAATCAAAATACACTAAAAATAAAAGAGAGTCAGGAAATAATCAGCAGATTATTCTGCATGCCTTCAGCTCTGTGCAGCACAGAACAACACAAGCAAGCTTTGGAGGTCTGTGGGAGCCGGCGACGCATTACGAGCTGCTGGCAAATTTAGAAAATTCCCCAGAAAACAGCTTTTTCTAACCCTGCTGCCACATTTCCATCAATGATGCAGCGACTGAATAGAGACGCTTTGGTTAAAATGAGCGGAGCTCCAACAGACTGCCGCTCTGTTTGAAGTGGGCGTGACTATTACCTGGAAACCCATGATTAAAACGCCCTCAGCGCTGCCGTCAGATATAACTATTACATTTAGTATGCGGTAGAAAACTTAAAGATGAGTCAGCATCATGCAGAGCAACATATCCGATTCACAGAGCAGCAATAGGCAAACCGGACAAACAGGAGATGACACACGCTTTGGCAGATGCTGCAAACATTTGCATTTATGAAGAGCAGCAAATGCTTCAGTCGGAAACTAGTATTCTGGCTAGAAGGCACAATTTGCATTTCTGCCCTTTTGACAGAAAAAAACAGGCCCACTAAATAAAATCTGATCACACAAAGAAGACGTCTGCAACCAGCCGTTCTCCTGATTCTCATTATCTTCGTTTTTAGAGCTCAAAGGTCAGAAATGACCCGATTAGTCTCTATCACTAGCTTCAGCTTGTACAGATGGAAAAATCTCACTGGAGGTTGTTACAGACCTGACGGAACTAAAAGCTCAATGACATCAGGAGGTGGTTGATACCCAGAGGAAAACCTCCCTGAACCTTAGAGCCCAGCCGCAAGCGATTTCTCTCCACTAAATATGGAAACATACATGTAGAGCCTTTACCTAGAGCCTTTAGATGCACCAGACTGTAGAGGAGCTCTTCTAGTGAAAGACTTTTACACCCTATTTGCAAAAAGGAGCACTAGCAGGTCACTCATCCCTGCTGCCATCAGACTCTATGACACTACGACAATAACTTGTGCACTGTATAATGTGCAATTTACTATTTGATACCCTGTGCAATAACCTGTTTCTCTATATGTAACGCCCAATGCAATAACTATAGATATAAATATACGTATCCATCTATATAAATACCCCTGTAAACACGCGCTGCAATAACTCTGCAATAAATATAATAAGCTGTCATATACTGTATATATCCCATGCACCATTTTATTTCTTTGGCACATTCTTCTTCTTTGACTATTTGCTGTTATGTAACAAGTAAATTTCTCCACTGTGAGATCAATAAAGTCAATCAATCAATCAGTTTCCTGTAGTGAGGGTTTTTCCTGACAAAAACCAAGAGCAGACATTTTCAATTTTAGCTCAGATTTCCTCTACTTGCCCTCCAAACTTGTCCTATTGCTCATATCTCTTCTCTTCGTTATTAAATTGTTGTTTCTGCTCTCAGTTCTAAAGCTTCAGAATCAGAGATACGCTCACAAACCTGTTTGCTCTGTTTGGGTCATCATTTTTTTTACTTTAGAATGTTAAAAACATAAAGGTCACTATTATACATTTTTTTAATAATAGACAAAACATTTAGTATAATCCATTTTTTATCAAACTCAGCCTTTCTGAGCTTTTCTATCTGTCATCGGATAAAGTTGTCATTAAACAGCCAATTAAAGCTATACTGCCCCCTGCAGCCGCCTCAGTGAACCGCATGTGATCTAAAGGGCCTACCACCTGTTTGCTTTGTTACATGATATTTTGAAGCAAAAATGTTTATTGCATTAACAGAAGCGGTTCTATGAGCCGTTGAAGCAGTTAGATGGTATAACCAGATGATGGAGTCCGGTTTAGTCCCTTTGCTGGTTTGCTTATGGTCTACAATGGCGTCTGATCAAAGTAAAATATCATGGTTTCTGTCGGTTCCATGGGAACAGTATTTAGATCCTGCTCCAAATCATAAAAAAGGGACTAAAAACTGATCTCTGTGGAACACCTTTTACTATTGTGTTCAGTTTTAGCTGATAGTAGATATCTAAACATTTTCTCCACGTCTTTTAGAACCTTTTAGAATAACTTTATGATTTTATTTACTTATGAGAGTGCAACAGTTTCAGTGCTTCTGTGTTTTAAATCTTTGTTTTTCATTTTTTCTACTAAATATTTGTTCTTTTCATCCAAACATCTTATTCCCACATTCAGATCCTGATGAAAGGCTGGTCTCTGGTGAAAAATTCACCTTTTGTTTTTAATCCCATGAGCTTTTAGGGTAACATTGAACAAACTGACCTTAATTTTCCTTCACATTGAAGAACGTCTCTTTATAAACAAAGATCCAAATACGTTTCAAACAGAACCAAAAAAAAGAGCAGGAGGAGGAGGAGGAAGTGTGATGAGCCAATTTTAACGTGTGAGACTGAGGAGAGCGCTTTCCTCTCACATTCCCAACATGTTTGTGTTGTGGAAGAGAAAACGAGGACAGCGGCGTGCGGTGGCGGCGCTGATGGGAACGTGATGATTGGGAGCCAAGAGTTCAGCTCCACAGATTCTCCTCGTGTGTCTGGAGGTCTGAGGAAACGAGCGACTGTGTTTAAATGTAAAACAAGAGGCTGGTTTAATGATTTTTTTCTTTAACAATCTGTTAAGAAGATGTCATTAACGCCCTTTTATAGTTTTTTTTTCCAACATTGTTCAAGTTTTAGCAGATTTAACCCCCAGTTGGTGATAAAATGTTTTTACCAGTTATTTTTCTATCTGCTTCACTTCAGAGGATCGTTGTTTCCTGCTAAAACCACAGAACTACACCTTTTACATTGCAGCTAAAAGTATTCAAACCCTCATAGATTTCTTCAGTTTTCTCTCTTAACGTTTAAGATCCCAAAGTTTTACTAGGCACAGCCTGAGTTTAATCTGCGCTTCCCTCCTCAGACGGCCGCTCCCTCCTCTTGGCACCCTGTTTGCCAGACACCCCCGCCGCTCAGGTCCTGGAGCGAGCCGTCCTGGAGTTGCGGGTCCGAGAAGTGGAGGAGGAGAACCGGCAGATCAAGCTGCAGCTCAGCCAGGCGCAGGGCACCGCTGAGGGTAACTACGGCAACCAGCAGTGGGGCGCGTCGGCCGACACCGTGCCAGAGGACGGCGACAACACGGCGGAGGAGAAAAACAACCACACGGACTGCTCCAGATCGCCCACCGTCCAGAAGTGTGAGGTTAGAATGTTTCTCACCAAATCCTGATTTATGTTAATATTAAACTTTACATAAAAATGAGCTTTTATTTGTTCAACCCTAATTAGATCAAACGTGAAGGAGCGACCCAAATTGTTCTATTTTTGATTTCCCTCAGAGATCAGAAGCTGTTCTGCAGGAAATGAGAGGTTTTATAAAAGAACATCAAGCATCATATAAACTTATTTTCACCAGATTCAGGCCCAACCTGGAACAAAATGGTTTCAAACAGATCCTGTGGAAAACCTTCCGATAGTCTAAATGTTGATGACCTTTAATTTTCTCTTTTTAATTATACAGTTTTACCAGTTCAATGATTTTGTCATGAAGCGGTGTTTGTATGGAGGACCCAAATGCAGAGACCGGTAGGCAGAGGTGAAATAAAGTCTGTTTATTCCGGTTAACAGATCCAGGGGAAGGAATCAGAGTCCAACAGAAAATACCAAACGTACCAGAACCAAGGAGACATCAGGGATTAACCAAAACCAGAAGCCAGGGAGAGACGAGACAAGGCAAGCAGATGATAGACGGGAAGTAAGACGAGATGTTTGACGTGGATCCAGCAACAAGGAACTGAAGAGGGAGGGCTTTTAAAGGGGACAGAGACAAAGAGAGGGCTGACGAGGAAATTGGCAACAGGTGCTGGCAGGACAGAGAAACAGAGCAAGGGAGGACACAAGAGGGCAGCAGAGGACAACAAATGGATAACCAATGAAAACAGGAACAAACAGACCAAGACTCTGACAGATTTACAGACTAATTAAATTATAGAGGATCAAATCTGTTCAATCCAAGGTTTTTGTTTAGTCAATGAAACTCTAAACATATCGACAAGTAAAGCTATAAATGGACCAAGTTTGGTAGATCTAACGTGTGTAGAGCTACTGAGGAATTATATCCAGAACAAAAACTGGAAGCTGCTTAGATTCTAATCAAAGTTCTGCAAGAAATGAAAAAGTAAAAATGTGGCATCATCAGCATATAAATATATCTGACTTAATTGATCCTAGATCCATAGGTGTCTCCATGGTAACAGTATTAAGATCCTGCTCCAGATTATTAAAAAAGGGACTAAAAACTAATCCCTGTGGAACACCGTTTACTATTGTGTTCAGTTTTAGCTGATAGTAGAGCTGGACAGAAGTTTGTTTTTATTTAGTTTTTTCAGATTTAAGAACTAAATTGAAAACTATGAAGCCTGCTGAGGGAACTCTGTCCATAAATAAGCAAAATAAAGAAACAGAAGAAGCCCTCTGGTGATTTAAATCCTGCTGATGCTCTGCTGATGCTGCAGTGGATGTTAGATCATCCGATTCATTTTTCCTTCAACAAAGAGGTTTGGTTCCGATAAAACGAAAATCTCAGCTTATAAAACGAGAATAAAGCAAATGTTTTACTGCATTTTGTTCTAATCTTAATTTTAATCAAGTTTTCATGTAAAGGACTTCATACCAGCCTGTTTTTAATTAATGGGACTCTTTATGTCTGTTACAGTAATTTATTTTGTTCCTCAGGTCCCTATCAGGGAGTCAGTGTTACTTTAACAGATTTGTTTATATCTATATCCAGCTGAGGTTTGAATATTTATTAGATAAAGTGATTGTTTTTACTGATAATCTCTGATGAGATTACTTAAAATTTCTTAATCTGCTTATTAATTGAATGTTTCTTTGTTTTGTTTTTTTGTTCACATTCCGTAATGCTGGAGTCATTAAGTAGAAATAGGTTAAAAGAGTCAAGTATCGGAGGCGTTTCTCAGCTGTTTGCAGCTCCTGAGCTGCTATATTTCCTGTCATCTATTTGAAACTCTGCAGCTCAGAAACACGAGGCTCCATGTCTGAGATCTGATGTTTGTCTCCTTAGAGCTTCAGAGGAAGGTTGGTTTAATCCTCCATGCTTGTGTTTCTGCAGCTGATCCACGTCGCCTGTGTTTGTGCCGGTCACAATGCCAGCAGAGACGTGGTGACCTTGGTCAAGTCTGTCCTTTTCCACAGGTGAGTCCGTGGGCCTCGGTTCTGACCCTGTTGGCCCTGAGAACCTGGATGAGAACATGTCTCATGCTGCTGCTTTCCAGCTTGGGTTGGTTTTGGGTGAAATGCTGCTGAGCTTGAGGCCTTTGGTTTTATATAATCATAAATATGTTTTCCGTCTAAACCAGGATATTTTATCTGTACTCTGGCAGATCGTTGTCAAATTTTAAACCGAACTTTATCTCCGCTTAATTTGATTTACTTGATTGTCGTTCAGTTAATTTTTACAGAATATTTCTCAAACTAGTGATTAAAAAAGTTTGAAATTATTCACTCTTTTCACTAAACACCTTACAGGGCTATGATAGCTGTAGAATTTAAGCCACGCTATAACTATGGATGGAGAATATCAACAAGCTGTTTCTGTCCGCTTGCAGGAGGAATCCTCTCCACTTTCATTTCATCACGGACTCCGTGGCCAGTCGGATCCTCAGCTCCTTGTTCCAGTCCTGGATGGTCCCGTCTGTGCAAGTCAGCTTCTACGATGCAGAGGAGCTCAAGGTGAGACGGACGCCTCCAAACATCTGAGTAGAACTCAGAGTTTCCATGAATAACAGCAGCTAGGAGACTGTAGAGACGCTACATTGTCTCAGAGCCACACCATAAATATGGAGCTTAACTGGGACCATAAATTGGTTCTAAAACATGTTTTTGAAACTGAATGAAAAAATGTAAACCCAATAGAAATGTTTAGATCTTTTTTTTCTAGTTTAATTTAACTTTTCATTCTCAAACTGCTCTTAGAAAAAAAATAACTGCTTCTCCCAAGAGTCTGACACGGGAGTGGATTTTCACTCCTGTTCCGTCCCACTCCCACAGAAAAAAATGGTGTCCCGATCCCGGGCCAGAGTAGAAATCTAAATCCTGTCTCGTTCCACTCCAGGTGAAATTACTCCCGCTCCCATTCAGAATGACTCCCGCTCCTGCACCCCTCCCATTCTTGTTGTCTTCAATAAGATTTCTGCCAATACATTGAATCTGAATTTCTATGAAGGGTCAGTTAAGTTTCTAACTGTAGTAACTGTTGGTCCCTCCATTGTTGTTTTTGAGCGCGGGTGAAAAACTCAGAGCGGAATCACTGTTGGTTTTTGGGTTGTGTAGTTTTTTTGACTTGCATTATAGTGTAGGCTTCAAGGAAAAAAACTACAAAATGGTGGCGCCGCGCCAGTACTGGATTTTTTTTCTTTCTATTTTATTTTATTTTTTGGCATCGATCATAGTTGTTTTTTTTAGTTACTATTGGTTTGCTCCCACTCCCGTCTGCTCCCGTTAATGTTTAATCCTGTACCGTCCCGATCACGTGATCGTTACTAATACTGACTCCCATCCCACGGGAATCCCGTGGGATTCCCGTGGGATTCCCAAAAAAATGTCAGTCTCTACTTCTCACCTCGTGACACAAATCTAATTGGAGAAATGACGATATGTGTTGTTGTCAAAGGAAGGAAACTTTCATTCTGCATTGGATATTTCCTATAGTGTTGAAGTAAAGAGAAAAAAATCAGACTGATTGCAGCATCTGCAGCGTTCCAACACGACCAGGAGCTCAGATCAGTCACAAATTATTTATTTATTTAGTTAATCAGGACAGAGAACATTAATGAACAATGTTACACTTCTGTACAGATTTTAAATGAACCAGATTATAGAATAGTTGCTAATTTACATCTGTCTCTAAGGCAGGAAGACAAAACAACACAAAATCACATAATGCAAAATATCAGTCAAAACACATAGACACACGTTCAATGACATTACAACAGTAAAATTAGTGAGTTCATGACTGGGAACTTTTAAGAAACTGTTTAAGGTGCTTTTTAAGAGGCTCTGGTGCAAATACGTCTGCCAGGTCTAATGTAGGTAAATATGAATTCCAAGTAATTTTCCTCTGGGATTATTAAAGTGTCTGATTCTGATGCACAAGTTTGGATTAATGGTGAATTTTCTCTACTTTTAACAGAGTTAACATTAAATTCATTTTCAAAACTTGGTGCTAAAGGTTCTTTAACTTCTGGTCAAACTCATGTTTGGAAGAAAAAACAAAATACCTTCCTCAGTTTAAAAGGGATTAGTTAGTATATTTAGGATTGACTGTAGGAATGAAGATCTATATGGACTGAGATTGTACCAACCAGAAACTGACCTTGAACCTGAACCGACTCCTTCCTGGGATCAGATCTAAGAGTCGGCTCTGGTCTTAGAGTCGGCTCTGGTCCTAAGAGTCGGCTCTGGTCCTAAGAGGCGGCTCTGGTCTTAAGAGGCGGCTCTGGTCCTAAGAGTCGGCTCTGGTCCTAAGAGGCGGCTCTGGTCTTAAGAGGCGGCTCTGGTCTTAAGAGGCGGCTCTGGTCCTAAGAGTCGGCTCTGGTCTTAGAGTCGGCTCTGGTCCTAAGAGTCGGCTCTGGTCCTAAGAGGCGGCTCTGGTCTTAAGAGGCGGCTCTGGTCCTAAGAGTCGGCTCTGGTCCTAAGAGGCGGCTCTGGTCTTAAGAGGCGGCTCTGGTCTTAAGAGTCGGCTCTGGTCCTAAGAGTCGGCTCTGGTCCTAAGAGTCGGCTCTGGTCCTAAGAGTCGGCTCTGGTCCTAAGAGGCGGCTCTGGTCTTAAGAGGCGGCTCTGGTCCTAAGAGTCGGCTCTGGTCCTAAGAGTCGGCTCTGGTCCTAAGAGGCGGCTCTGGTCTTAAGAGGCGGCTCTGGTCCTAAGAGGCGGCTCTGGTCCTAAGAGTCGGCTCTGGTCCTAAGAGGCGGCTCTGGTCCTAAGAGGCGGCTCTGGTCCTAAGAGGCGGCTCTGGTCCTAAGAGGCGGCTCTGGTCTTAAGAGTCGGCTCTGGTCCTAAGAGGCGGCTCTGGTCCTAAAAGGCGGCTCTGGTCCTAAGAGGCGGCTCTGGTCCTAAGAGGCGGCTCTGGTCCTAAGAGTCGGCTCTGGTCCTAAGAGGCGGCTCTGGTCCTAAGAGTCGGCTCTGGTCCTAAGAGTCGGCTCTGGTCCTAAGAGTCGGCTCTGGTCTTAAGAGGCGGCTCTGGTCCTAAGAGTCGGCTCTGGTCCTAAGAGGCGGCTCTGGTCTTAAGAGGCGGCTCTGGTCTTAAGAGGCGGCTCTGGTCCTAAGAGTCGGCTCTGGTCTTAAGAGGCGGCTCTGGTCCTAAGAGTCGGCTCTGGTCTTAAGAGGCGGCTTTGGTCTTAAGAGGCGGCTCTGGTCCTAAGAGTCGGCTCTGGTCCTAAGAGGCGGCTCTGGTCCTAAGAGGCGGCTCTGGTCTTAAGAGGCGGCTCTGGTCCTAAGAGTCGGCTCTGGTCCTAAGAGGCGGCTCTGGTCTTAAGAGGCGGCTCTGGTCTTAAGAGGCGGCTCTGGTCCTAAGAGTCGGCTCTGGTCTTAAGAGGCGGCTCTGGTCCTAAGAGTCGGCTCTGGTCTTAAGAGGCGGCTCTGGTCTTAAGAGGCGGCTCTGGTCTTAAGAGGCGGCTCTGGTCTTAAGAGGCGGCTCTGGTCTTAAGAGGCGGCTCTGGTCCTAAGAGTCGGCTCTGGTCTTAAGAGGCGGCTCTGGTCTTAAGAGGCGGCTCTGGTCCTAAGAGTCGGCTCTGGTCCTAAGAGGCGGCTCTGGTCCTAAGAGTCGGCTCTGGTCCTAAGAGTCGGCTCTGGTCCTAAGAGTCGGCTCTGGTCCTAAGAGTCGGCTCTGGTCCTAAGAGGCGGCTCTGGTCCTAAGAGTCGGCTCTGGTCCTAAGAGTCGGCTCTGGTCCTAAGAGGCGGCTCTGGTCCTAAGAGTCGGCTCTGGTCTTAAGAGGCGGCTCTGGTCTTAAGAGGCGGCTCTGGTCCTAAGAGTCGGCTCTGGTCCTAAGAGGCGGCTCTGGTCTTAAGAGGCGGCTCTGGTCCTAAGAGGCGGCTCTGGTCCTAAGAGTCGGCTCTGGTCCTAAGAGGCGGCTCTGGTCCTAAGAGGCGGCTCTGGTCCTAAGAGTCGGCTCTGGTCCTAAGAGTCGGCTCTGGTCTTAAGAGGCGGCTCTGGTCCTAAGAGTCGGCTCTGGTCTTAAGAGGCGGCTCTGGTCTTAAGAGGCGGCTCTGGTCTTAAGAGGCGGCTCTGGTCCTAAGAGTCGGCTCTGGTCTTAAGAGGCGGCTCTGGTCTTAAGAGGCGGCTCTGGTCCTAAGAGTCGGCTCTGGTCCTAAGAGGCGGCTCTGGTCCTAAGAGTCGGCTCTGGTCCTAAGAGTCGGCTCTGGTCCTAAGAGTCGGCTCTGGTCCTAAGAGTCGGCTCTGGTCCTAAGAGGCGGCTCTGGTCCTAAGAGTCGGCTCTGGTCCTAAGAGTCGGCTCTGGTCCTAAGAGGCGGCTCTGGTCCTAAGAGTCGGCTCTGGTCCTAAGAGGCGGCTCTGGTCTTAAGAGGCGGCTCTGGTCCTAAGAGTCGGCTCTGGTCCTAAGAGTCGGCTCTGGTCTTAAGAGTCGGCTCTGGTCCTAAGAGGCGGCTCTGGTCCTAAGAGTCGGCTCTGGTCCTAAGAGGCGGCTCTGCTCCTAAGAGTCGGCTCTGGTCCTAAGAGTCGGCTCTGGTCCTAAGAGTCGGCTCTGGTCCTAAGAGGCGGCTCTGCTCCTAAGAGTCGGCTCTGGTCCTAAGAGTCGGCTCTGGTCTAAGAGTCGGCTCTGGTCTAAGAGGCGGCTCTGGTCCTAAGAGTCGGCTCTGGTCCTAAGAGGCGGCTCTGGTCCTAAGAGGCGGCTCTGGTCCTAAGAGGCGGCTCTGGTCCTAAGAGGCGGCTCTGGTCCTAAGAGTCGGCTCTGGTCCTAAGAGGCGGCTCTGGTCCTAAGAGGCGGCTCTGGTCCTAAGAGGCGGCTCTGGTCCTAAGAGTCGGCTCTGGTCCTAAGAGTCGGCTCTGGTCTTAAGAGTCGGCTCTGCTCCTAAGAGGCGGCTCTGGTCCTAAGAGTCGGCTCTGGTCCTAAGAGGCGGCTCTGCTCCTAAGAGTCGGCTCTGGTCCTAAGAGTCGGCTCTGGTCCTAAGAGTCGGCTCTGGTCCTAAGAGGCGGCTCTGCTCCTAAGAGTCGGCTCTGGTCCTAAGAGTCGGCTCTGGTCCTAAGAGTCGGCTCTGGTCCTAAGAGGCGGCTCTGGTCCTAAGAGTCGGCTCTGGTCCTAAGAGGCGGCTCTGGTCCTAAGAGGCGGCTCTGGTCCTAAGAGGCGGCTCTGGTCCTAAGAGGCGGCTCTGGTCCTAAGAGTCGGCTCTGGTCCTAAGAGGCGGCTCTGGTCCTAAGAGGCGGCTCTGGTCCTAAGAGGCGGCTCTGGTCCTAAGAGGCGGCTCTGGTCCTAAGAGGCGGCTCTGGTCCTAAGAGGCGGCTCTGGTCCTAAGAGGCGGCTCTGGTCCTAAGAGGCGGCTCTGGTCCTAAGAGTCGGCTCTGGTCCTAAGAGGCGGCTCTGGTCCTAAGAGGCGGCTCTGGTCCTAAGAGGCGGCTCTGGTCCTAAGAGGCGGCTCTGGTCCTAAGAGTCGGCTCTGGTCTTAAGAGGCGGCTCTGGTCCTAAGAGTCGGCTCTGGTCCTAAGAGTCGGCTCTGGTCCTAAGAGTCGGCTCTGGTCCTAAGAGGCGGCTCTGGTCCTAAGAGTCGGCTCTGGTCCTAAGAGGCGGCTCTGGTCCTAAGAGTCGGCTCTGGTCCTAAGAGGCGGCTCTGGTCCTAAGAGGCGGCTCTGGTCCTAAGAGGCGGCTCTGGTCCTAAGAGGCGGGCTCTGGTCCTAAGAGTCGGCTCTGGTCCTAAGAGTCGGCTCTGGTCCTAAGAGGCGGCTCTGGTCCTAAGAGGCGGCTCTGGTCCTAAGAGGCGGCTCTGGTCCTAAGAGGCGGCTCTGGTCTTAGTTTCCTAGTTTTTCTTTATTTTAAAGGCCTTTTTTGCAGCATTTTTACATCAGATTGAAGTCTCTTCTTGTTACATGATATAAATTAGATTCCAACATAACTGTAAAATGTTTTGGTTGTGTGTGTGTTAACAGAGCAGCTGAGACCAAACATTCAAGTCTGTAAAGTTTTTAATTTGCAACAATTCTAAACTAATTTATTTGGAAGAGTGGAGTGACACTTTAAGCACCTAAAAACAAAGAAAAACCGACCCAGACAGGCGAAAAAGGTTTAGGTGGCGTATAGTCGCTGAATGAGCTCTGAGTGGAATGAAGAGGCCGAGGCATGAATCGGTGTTTGTTTCCAACCTGCTTCACATGGTCAGGCTCTCCTCCCGCTCCGTCTTTGTGCTGAACAATCGGCCCTTTGTGCCATCAGACTCTCCGACCTGCAGCCTCTCCTCACTTTCCATTAACTCACATTAAAGCGGAGGAAAACAGCCTCCCCTGTTTGCAGATGATGCTTTTACGCAGATCCAATTCTTCTGAATTTAAATAATTAATTAAAGGACACCGTTTCCAGGTTCAGACTGGCTGAAAACATGTTTAGTCGTCACCAGAAAAATGCTGAAGGCGTCTTTGTGTGATGCCTGCGGTCAGAATGAGGAAGAAGTAAGAGCAGGGATTGTTGAGCTGTTCAAAATGTCTGTGATCTCCTTATGATTGTCGTTTCAGTCCGAGGTGTCCTGGATACCCAACAAGCATTACTCAGGTATTTACGGCTTGATGAAGCTGACGCTAACCAAAGCTTTACCGTCTGACCTGGCGAAGGTCATCGTCCTGGATACAGACATCACCTTCGCCACCGACATCGCCGAGCTGTGGGGCATCTTCAAGAAGTTCACCGGTGAGAAAGAGTTTCCTTTAACAGTTGTTGAAGTTTAGAGTAAAAATAGCTTTAACATAAAAACTTTAAAAAAATGTGCAGACAAAAGACGTCTTTGTTCAGTTTTTAGGTTTCATGTATCAAATATGTCGTAGGAAGAGCCGGTTTAGGAATCCACACCTGTTATAATCCAGCAGATTTGTAGAAGGTAGAGGGGCCTACTTCCTGTTAGCCACCAAACAAGCCCACATCACCAGCCCTCCACCTCCGTGCTGCAGTGTTTGGTTTGCTCCAGCTTTGATGCTCCACATTTTGTTCTCGTTTCACACAACAAGGCGGCCATATTGTTCTTATAGAGCAGACTATCTCCTTTAACACCTGATCTTTACTCTTCAACTGTATTAATTTCCTCTCCTCCACGATTAAAAAGTTTTGAGCTTTTACACGTAAACATGAACAAATTGAAAAATGTTCCCCTTTCGTTGCACAGCCTCAAACCAAACATGAAAGGGTTTCTGCAGCTGCTTTCAACGTGACGGAAAACCTAATTTTAGCTGCAAAATGTTCTCATTTCTGCTGCCTTTTCTGTCTTGGAACATCTAAATCGATCCTATTTTATAACTGATCCGATTTCTTGGAGAAAGGTAACATGAGAGCCCGATTCTCAACCACGTTTGTGGCTCCCTGTGTTCAGAGCCCATGATTAATGCCTTTGGAAATTCCCCAATAATTGTTCTCAGATGTGTTTGCAACATAAAGTAAATAAAACCTTAGATCAGATTCGATTTAACCCAACGGCATGAAGCGGCTCTTGGCAAAGCAGAGCACGGTATTTATCCACATATTGAACAGTAGCAACAATTTCCTCTCTACGGTCGTTAATGTGGCCTTTTTTCCTTAGCATTTGGCTAAAGCTTAAACTTCTATATATGGACTGAATTTTGTTCTATTATTTTTGCAAAAAAAGAACACAAAATAACAAAATTAAAAAGGTATTCCTGAAATGAAACTGAAAAACATTTCAATCAAAAATATGCTTTTGAAGTTTTCTTTGATTATTTTTATAACTTTTTCATTCAAATTCATTATTTATTTTTTAATTTAAAAAATGTATGCAAAGTTTAATGTTTCATAAGCTTTTTTCTATTACATATAGTGAGTTTTAAAAATGTTATTCTTTTCTAATCGTATTTTACAGATAAGATTCGTTTCACCTCTAGGGGCGGGCTTTCCTCTGGATTGAGTTGCAAAGATGCATTTCTATTGGTCTGCTGGACGTTAGTAACAACATTTCTGTGGTCCAGAGCAAGAGTTTCTATTGAGTTTGAAGTGAAGAGATTTAATCTGTTAAACAAAATTGGAAAAGAGTCCATTTGTAAGTCTCAATCTGAAAACCTGACATAAAAAACATATAGACAGTAAAAAATGTAAAAAGATAACATTGGAAAATATATAAAGACTATAACTTCTGTTTTGTCTGCTTTCAGGAGCAGAAAGTTAAGAGTCATCCAGGTTTTTGTTCGAGACATGCCAGTAATCTATGTAATGGGTTAGCTTCATCTGGATTATAGACAGATATAGCTGGGTATCATCAGCATAACAGTGGAAATTAATAAAGCATATATATATATATATATATATATATATATATATATATATATATATATATATATATATATATATATATATATATATATATATATATATATAGCAGAGATGGGAAATGTGGAATCAACAAGTCATCTCCATGTCATGTATTTAATCTACCCAACCAATTAACCAGGTGAGTCCAATCTTGCACAGGTTGATTCACGGTGAAGATTGGACTCACCTGCTTCAGTGGCTGGGTAGAACAAATACATGACATGGAGATGACTTGTTGACTCCACATTTCTCATCTCTGATATATAGTAAAGAGAAATATTATGGACAACTGGATCAAATGCAGCACTGAGATCCAACAGGACGAGCACAGATACAAGTCCATTATCTGAGGCCATGAGAATATCATTAGTGACTTTCACCAGAGCTGTTTCAGTGCTATGATGAGCTCTAAAGCCAGACTGAAACTCTTCAAAAAGTTCATTATGGTGGAAGTGATCGCAAACTTGCTTGGCAACTACTTTCTCAAGAATTTTGGATAAGAAAGGAAGATTGGATATAGGTCTATAATTGACCAAGTCATCTGGGTCAAGAGACGGTTTCTTAAGCAGAGGTTTAATCACAGCAACCTTAAAAGCTTTAGGTACATATCCCTGTAACAGAGATAGATTAATCACATCTAAAATGGAGGAGGAGATCAAAGGGAATAGCTCCTTAAATAACCTGGTTGGAACTGGATCTAACATCCAAGTTGAAGGCTTAGATAAAGACAATAGTTTTTTAAATTTTGATCTAAGCAGTTTAAACCCGATTCAGATTCTATTTCTCACCTTCCAGAGACAAACCAATCATAGTTAGAGGGGTGCTAATGATCTTATTTTTATTAGAATAAATCTAATTTATAATGAATCCCATTAAATCATTGCTGCTAAGAGCAGGTGGGATGGACGGTTCAACAGAGCTATGGTTCTTGGTGAGTTTGACAAGTGGATTAAAAACATATCTAGGATTATTTTTATTCTTCTCTTTTACTGAAGAGAAATATGCTTTCTTCTTTAATTACATCAAAGATGTACTTAGTTCTTCCATCTCTGTTTAATAAAAGATAACTAGAGTATAGAATAAGGTTGAGGTTTTTATTTATTTTTATTTATTATTTTTAGCTTCGGTTAACAAATATTTTCAGAAGTGGTTTATGTCTCAATAAAGAATTTTGTTATTAAGAACAAGATTTGAACAAGATAGAATTAACATGTATGCATTTACATTTAAATGTCTCCTTGTGAAAATAATGATTATTTTACCTATTTTGGTTGTGATGATGAGTAATATGCAGCATGTAGTTTGACTTTTTGGTTCGTACACCAGAGAAGTTTAGTGTTTGAGACGTGATGAAATCCGCCTCTGTCTGTAACTCTGCCTCAGGGGGCAAATAAATCCCCTCAGGCTGACTTTAGAAGCAGGCAGGTCCAACCTCAGTTCTTTGTTAAAACATCTGATTTCATTTCATTGCTAATACTGAAACTTTATTTCTGATATGAAAAACCCAAGTTGTCTTTTTAGCTGAATGTTGTGAATATTTCTGTTCTTAACAGATAAGCAGGTGATTGGACTGGTGGAGAACCAGAGCGACTGGTACCTGGGGAACCTGTGGAAGAACCACAGACCCTGGCCGGCGCTGGGAAGAGGCTTCAACACGGGTAAATAAATGTCAGCTGATGCCTGTTGATGTCGTTCCGCTGCCATCTAGAAGTTTCTCTTCCCTTTGAGTGTTTAGATTCAGCCGGTTTTCTCCTCCTCTGCTGCAGGCGTCATCCTTCTCTACCTGGAACGACTGAGGAGGATCAGCTGGGAACAGATGTGGCGTCTGACGGCAGAGAGGGAGCTAATGAGCATGCTCAGCACGTCGCTGGCTGACCAGGTTAGGCCCCGCCTCCACCTGAAGGAATGCAAAGAAGGGAATCTGACTAAAGGTCCAAGCTGAGCCTTTTCTGGCTCGGGATGACCCGATTAGGTCCATCTATTGTTGTTGGTCTCTGAAGTGTAGAAGCTACCAGAACAGGAGCATGTTAATCATCTCTAAGGAGCTTCACAGTGAGCTGCTGTCTGTGTCGTCTGCCTGCAGGACATCTTCAACGCCTTCATCAAGCAGAACCCGGTTCTGGTCCACCAGCTGCCCTGCTTCTGGAACGTCCAACTGTCCGACCACACGCGCTCAGAGCAGTGCTACACCGAGGTGTCCGACCTCAAGGTAGCTCCTTCCTTCCTTCCTTCCTTCCTTCCTTCCTTCCTTCCTTCCTTCCTTCCTTCCTTCCTTCCTTCCTTCCTTCCTTCCTTCCTTCCTTCCTTCCTTCCTTCTTTCCTTCCTTCCTTCCTTCCTTCCTTCCTTCCTTCCTTCCTTATAATATAAATTGACATTTCTGCAAATGTAGATTTAAATATGCAAAAGAAAGTTGATTAGAGGTGAGATCAGAACATCTTTAGCAAGTTTTACTCCAGGCTTATTTCTTCTAATGTGACTCTATGCAGCATTCAGTGTTGTTTTGTTTTGACAGAGTAGTTCTAATTTTAGCCAGACGTTTAGAAGCAGGTTATGGATGTTGGAGTTGTTCCTCCAGGTGATCCACTGGAACTCTCCAAAGAAGCTGCGAGTGAAGAACAAGCATGTGGAGTTCTTCAGAAACCTCTACCTGACCTTCCTGGAGTATGACGGTAACCTGCTGCGCAGGGAGCTGTTCGGCTGCCCGAGCCAGGCCAGTCCAGAAGGCGTCCGGGTGAGACACTGATAAAGAAAACCTAGAACACGTTAAAACAGCTCCAGGTCATAGTGAGTGATCATCCTTTGGATTAAGCCTTGTTAGGAAACTGGGTTTTCTTTTTAACTCCGCAGGGTTACTCTGTCCTCTGACCAATAGGAATGAGTCTGCTCTGCCTGGACCTTAGCAACAGCTTTTCTATTGGTCAGTCAGACCAGCCAGAAGTGTAAAGAAGGAAATAAAAAAAAATTAGGATTGAAAATAACACAATTTGTAAAAAAATCTACCAAGTACAGTTGAAAAAATAAAATGTTTTTCATACACAATATAGGTTCTCTCAAAAGCTTTGTTTTTGATCCAGAAGTATTTTTAGAGTTCTTTAAATTCCTTTAATGAAATGTGTTCTTAGCTTTCAGTAATATCGGAATCGTTTCTCTTTGGTTTCTCTCACTAGTTCATTTTTTCTGGTTGAACGACTTCCATGTAATAACATGTAGTTCCTCTCCTCAGCTGCAGGCGGCGCTGGAGGACCTGGACGAAGACGATCAGTGCTACGACTTCCGACGGGAGCGCTTGACGGTGCACAGGGTGCACCTGTACTTCCTGCAGTACGAGTACACGCCCACAGAGGACGACACAGACGTGACCCTGGTGGCACAGCTCTCCATGGACAGGTCAGAGAACCAGAACGCTGCTGCTGCCTTCAGAAACATCACGCTCTAAATCCTTCACCTCCTGCTGGGTTTCAACCAAACGCCACAAACAAACGAGTACAGATACCCATCCGGTACAATCCAGCTTCAAGTGACATTAATTTGATCCAAAACTGCTAAATTATTATTATTTTTTAATGTTCTGGACTGGACAAAATATGAGGACCTAAACACACCTTCATTTTTTTTTTTTTTACTGATTAAAGCTGCAACATTTAGGGAGGTTTTATTGAACAAAGTTTGGATCCGGTCTGTTTACATCCTGGCGATTTGATTTTGAAATCCTAGCAAATCCAAATTCAGAGAGCAAACATTTTCCTGATTTTTCAAATAAAATACAAAAAAATACAAAAACAAAAAAACTCTTTTCTCCCCTCAGAGTGGTTGTTACCTGATGCAGTCATGACGAAACCTTTCAACCATTTATTTTGGTCAGACGTATACAGATATATTGTATATCTGGGCTCCCACTTCCTCTTCCCACGTTCATCTTCCTGTTTTTTTATTTTATTTTATTTATTTAGTTAATCAGGACAGCGCACATTAATGAAGAATCTTATACTTCTGTACAGATTGTAAATGAGCCAGATCATAGCATAGTTGCTAATTTACATCTGTCTCTGAGGCAGGAAGACAAAACAACACAAGATCACATAATACAAAATATCAGTCAAAACACACAGACACACGTTCAGACAATGACATTACAACAGTAAAATTAGTGAGTGCATGTCTGGGAACTTTTAAGAAACTGTTTAAGGTGCTTTTTAAATGTGCAATAAGTGGGAATTTCCCTGAAGTTTGTTGGGAGGCTGTTCCAGAAGTGACCCCCTCTGACTGATAGAACGGTTTGTCCAAAGGTTGTTGCGCCGGTTCATTTGGGTGTTCTTCCTGTTTTTCCTGGTTAAAGGTTTTGTGGAGGATTTCACGATTTTTTTTTTTTTTTTTTAAGGACCAACCCTCTCTACTTTTAAAATAAAGATGCACATGCACAATCATGTAGCAACTCCCGAGAGGGAACACCTATTAAAAGCGTGCGAAAGCGTGCACGAGCCTTTTTCTCCTCGTGCACGCTGTTTAAAAGTTGCCATTCTCATAGCTCATGCAAGCTTACTGTGTCCGAACGTCCACCCAAACCCCTCAATCCCTCAATCACTTTATAGAGTGTGGAATATATAGTAAACTTTATTGTGAACTCTTAACTTACCATTCGCACAGATGATCACTGCTTTTTGCTCCCCATTGGTCAAGTGACTCCTCCTCCCCCGTGCGGTGTCTGCGCCATCTTTGTTTTTAGTTGCCGTTGTTGGGTAGCGACAGCCTATGGCAGTGGGCCGCTGTGACAGCAAATCCCATAATGCTTTGCGAATATATCCCATTAAGGAATATATTTGCCTCTTTTCTTCTCATACGCTCAGTAGATACTTTTTCTCTTACGACCCTCTGCCATTTTCAAAGAACCGCAGTCAAAAAGGTGAGCTTCAACGACTGTCTGAGATAGTAGCTCACCACACATACAGGCCTGAAAGTGTGCATAGCTAATGGGACGAGCACATAGGACAACCTTACGTAAACATAACATCAGAATGATTGACAATTAGAGGGACCACTTATTTAGATCATCCCGATAATAAAAGATCAGCCTCTATACCTTCTTTAATTATTAATCTTCTTTCTGTTTCTCCTCAGGCTGCAGATGCTGGAGGCCATCTGTAAGCACTGGGAGGGCCCCATCAGCCTGGCCCTCTACATGTCCGACGCAGAGGCGCAGCAGTTCCTGCGCTACGCCCAGGCCTCAGAGGTTCTCAAGAACCGCAAGAACGTCGGCTACCACATCGTCTACAAGGAGGGCCAGTTTTACCCGGTCAACCTGGTGAGGAACGTGGCCTTGAGGAACGCCAACACCCCCTACGTGTTCCTGACGGACGTAGACTTCCTGCCGATGTACGGTCTCTATGATTACCTCAGGTAAGCCGGCGCTCCTGCAGGGTCAGGCAGCGTCTGTCTATTTTTATTTCTACATCTTCTTGGAAAACAAATGAGAAACTCACAATTTTGTCTAAAAAATAGAGAAATGAGGCTTTGGTTCATGGTGTTCAGAGATGTGTCCACGTCTCCGGGCCCGGAGGCAGCCGGGATGGACAGATGGGGGTTCAGGGCTCATCCATGCCTCCTCCTCATAATAACACAATCAGATTCATTTCTATTCTGCTCAACATCATCTGAAGCAATCAGGTTGCATCACAGGCCATTAACCGCAGTGCCAGTGGAGTCCTCTGCCTTCAGAGAGACTTCAGAGAGACAGAGCCTTCGACTGTCAGCACCAACCAATGAAAATGAAGCATCCATATTCCGGCGCTGGAGCCTCCCAGCCCATAAAGAAGCAGCCGGCTGCGGTTTGTCAGGAACCATCATGCAGTCCAAACATTTCTCTGGGGAAATCACAGATTTTATGACCGCTTAATTTGATGCGATGAACACAGAAACACGGCCGTCTGTTCGCTGCTCTCTGCTGTCAAATAAAAGGTTCTGATGAGCTTTTTTTTTCTGCTGCGACACAACTGAATAATGAAAAGTTTGAGAGTGGTGTTGGTCGATGCAGCACCAAGAGGAAAACCTTTAAAGAAATTATTATTCTTAGTAACGCTCTCTGTAAACACCTGCAGTCTTTAAGCTCCTTCATCTTCTGGCTCCTGCAGGAAGTCTGTGGTCCAGCTGGACATGGCTCACACCAAGAAGGCTCTGGTGGTTCCGGCCTTCGAGACTCTCCGTTACCGCCTGTCCTTCCCCAAATCCAAAGCCGAGCTCCTCTCCATGCTGGACATGGGAACTCTCTACACCTTCAGGTACCACAGCACATACCCCAGCCCCGTTCTGGTGGCCAGCACACATGATCCAACGTCCCGCCCCTCTCTGCTGCTGCAGGTACCACGTGTGGCCGAAGGGCCACGCTCCAACCAACTATGCCAAATGGCGAACGGCGACCACGCCCTATAAGGTGGAGTGGGAGTCAGACTTCGAGCCGTACGTCGTGGTGCGACGGGATTGTCCGGAGTACGACCAGCGCTTCGTGGGCTTCGGCTGGAACAAGGTGTCCCACATCATGGAGCTGGACGCTCAGGTATGTCTCTGTTTGTTAGCTCTGACGACCAATCAGAGTCCAGGTTTCTGACTTTGGGAAGAAGCTGGATCCCCCAGAGAAAAACCCACACAAACTCAATACCTTTCAACCACTAAGGAATCTGAATTTAAAGCTCCGTTTCCTGTGGTCGTGCTGCAGCTTTACAGTTTTGTTTTGTTTTTTATTCACTCTATAATCTGAGGCATGTGAATGGCAAAAGTGCGCTGAAATCGGAAAAAAAAGTGTCCACCTGTCTCCCTAATAATGTTAGCAGGTATTCTGGCCCCAGGCTCGTAGCGATTGCCCATGGGTAAAAAAAAAATCACTTGAATATAAATTTACGGTAAATAAATAAAAAAAAAACAATCGAAATCCCTCTTGCATTTGTCAGCCAATGGTAGCAAACGAGTGCTCTGGAACTAACAGTATTAGCCAGTCAGAAGAAGAAGGGGGCGGGTCTTAGGAAAGCGTCAGTCTCCTCCTGTCGTTTCTTGTACAAGTCATCAAGCTGGTGTTGGTGCGGGCCCGCACGCTACACGTTTACCACGAGCTACGACAACAGCTGATGTACCAGCGTCAATAACTGACCGTGTATGCCAGTTAAAAATAACCATGTGTGCTTTCCTCGCCTAGCAGCAAAACTGGACATCAAAAGAAATGTGGTAGAAGCAAGCGGTAGATAAAGATGCACGTTTGCCACCTTTCAGCCATTTTTGGTGTTGGATTATCGAAAGTCAAATTTAGTCTTCAATCATTCATGCAATCTCTGATTTTGTCCCCAAACCCACATGGCATGGCACAAAAATCCACAAGTGTACGCACACACACACACACACACATATATATGTACATATGTATATACATATATATATATATATATATATATATATATATATATATATATATATATATATATATATATATATATATACAGTATATATAATCCCTGAATCAGGGCCATAAAAAAGAGAGAAACATGAAAATAAAAGTCAGAGTCGTGATTCAAACCTTTTTTCTTCTTTTTTTTTCGCAATCCAGAATCTCTGGATTAAAATCCCATTTCGAATTTTTTTTTTTTTTTCCACATCCCAGTGGCCTTCAATCCTCTAAGGCAGTGGTTCCCAACCCCCAGCCCTTCTTTTTTCTAGATATGTCTCTGTTCCTGCACAGCTGATTCTATTTCTACTGCAATCAAGTGCTGCAGAAGTTTGTTAATAATCTGCTCTTTTCTGGTGTGATGCAACAAGGAAACACCTAAAACATGCAGGACACGGTTCCTGAGGTGCAGTGTTGGGAAGCACTGCTCTAAGGCACGCAGCAGTTCAAATTAACCCTGACAGCAACTTTCTTTCTTCCTCCAGGAGTACGATCTGATGGTCCTTCCCAATGCCTTCATGATCCACATGCCACACGCTCCCAGCTTCGACATCTCCAAGTTCCGCTCTAGCGCCAGCTACCGTAACTGTCTGAACACACTGAAGGACGAGTTTCACCAGGATCTGTCCAGGAAATATGGAGCCACTGCTCTCAAGTACCTCACTGCCCAGAGGAACATGTAAACTCCAGGGAGCCGGGATCAGGACCCTGAGGGCTCGGACTCGTGCTGGAGATCACTGGGCAGCAGGTGGAACCGTAGAGCTTTATGGCCCATCTGAGCATCTCGGGCTGCTGTGCATTAATCCTGCAGTGGATGCAGAGACCAAGGAGAATCTGATGGGAGGATGAAGGACCAGGATGCAGACAGGTGTTCCTTTAAGGAGCAAAGCGAGAAGCATTCAGTTTTAATTTGTTCTGACAATCAGGGCTTTTTCCAGAGGCAGTCTGTCTCTGCATGGATGCCAGGACCCGGCAGGACCCAGCGGGACCCGGCGGGGGTCCCGCCGGGACCTGATGCTTCGGGGGAGAGACGTCTACGAGTCAGCTAGACCTGGAGAATGATTCAAGCCTTATCCACTTCATCACATTTACAAAGATATTTAATACCTTTTTTTTTAAATCATAAATCTGAACCAATGATAGCGAAACATTTAAATTTACTAAGTTTTGATTACTGCTTTACACGCTAAGTTTTCCTTTTATATTGTTGGACCTCTAAAGAAAAAAGAAACAGTTTCATGGTTTCAGATCAGTCCATGTTTTGTGTGATGTCATCAGGGACGTGCTTTAAGTGTGTGTGTGTGAGTGAGAACGGGCTGCATCACCAACACGCGTGCTCAGAGTCACGCCGCTTCGTCTTGCATGTTAACGGTAGCATTACAGGTTGTTTTTAAGGCAGACAAACACGTCCTCATCCAAGCGTTCGGGTTCCTTAGCAGCAGAAAGACGGACAGAGGAACCACAGCATGTCGGTTTAATAGGAATCATTTTTTGTTCGTTTTGATGCCATTTTGTCTGAGTCACTGGATACATGTGCCATCTACTGATTCTGCTCCTTTCTACAAGTCCAGCTCAAATGAATGCTTCCTTGCTGCTCGCTCCAAGTCCTTCATATTAAAATGAAATCCATCCGTAGCTCAGTTTACAGATCAGAAAATCTAAATCCCTTCAACAGAACCTGTCTGACAGCATGAAGTAGGCTAACTTAGCTCAATCTGACTTCTGTTGGCCTGGAAATGGTTACAGAACCGTCCTTTAGGAACTGGGCCTCTTTAAGGTCAGAGTTCGTAATTCTTCCAAAAACAGAACCACGGCTGACCCAGAAGAACATCACGACCCGTCTTCAGAAATCATCTTCATGGACTTTTTGGGGAAATGTTCTTAGATCTGCCTTCTGCACATCTGGTTAAAATGAAGCCAGCCTTTCAGAAAGCTTCAGTGGAGTACGGCAGTGGCAGTGTGATGCTATGGGGGCTGCCTTTTGATGTGGCAAGAAGCAGGAACTCTGAACCTGAAAAAAAAAATCTCAATTAGTTCATGACTTTAAGTGAGAGTAGAAAAGCTGAGCTCTGATTGGCTCAGAAAAATTATAAAATGAAATACATTTTTTTAATGGCCTAGTCAAAGTTTGTAGCTTTTATTAGTATTATTTCTATATGCTGTGTTTTTACAGTCAGAGGTATTAGTAGTTATTATAATCTCCAAGTCCAAATAATAAAATTAAACATTTGATGTGGTGGAAATACCGACTCAATCTTTTGAGGCGTTTAATCTCTAAACGTGATCCAGAGTCCAACGCTGACCCAACCATCCGCTCTCAGAACATCGCTTTGGAGGATAGTTTGGATCTTCTGTAAATTTCCTGGAAAGGTTGAATCTCCTTAATCATCCCAGGCTGTGATCAGGAAGAAATCAGTAAAAAGATAAAAAAAAAGGAAAAGATTAGTTTTTAATCAAAATAAGATCAAAGTTCTTAATCTGATCCGATTTATGGCAGCAAGAAAAGCATTTTAATTTTAGACGGACTTCCTGTTTCTGTTTTTCTGGTAACCACCTTTGTTTTATTCTTCCTATTAAAGCTCTAAGGTGGATTTCATGTTAAATCCTATTTTGGCCTCCTGACGAGGGCTTCAGCCCCAATGATCCACCTTTACACGTCGACAGGATTCATCTGGATCAGACCCGTTTTTATTTCACTGTTCTGCCTACATGTGGGGATATACCGGATGGTCACCATGGAGAGCTCCGCTCCGTCCGCGCCGCCTCCATCCTTGTGTCGTTGATTGTGGTAAATGCTAGTGCCTTTTGCTGTATTGTGAACCTGGATATTGATTGTACAGATGTACGGACGATGCGGCCTGGAGGACGTCAGGCGCTCTATTTATTATTGTTGACTCAAATCAATCATATTTTTCTATGTAAGTGCTTTAAATAAATCCGCCCTTTTCTAATGAGTCAGCCTACTGTGTGTTTAATTTTACTATCTGGATTACGCAGACAATTATTTATATCCCACCCCCCCAGACTGAAGAGTCAGGGGGATACCCAACATTTGGTTTTATCAGGGTCAGTGGTTTTTTTAAGCCCAACCGAATCCTCCATGTGTGTAATTGGTCCAGTGAAAAAACTTTTAATGGAAACTCTATTGTTTTGGAGACGCGGCTCCCCTGACTCTTCTCATCCTGTTTAAATGCAAATTGCAGAAAAATAATTGGATAAAGAAGTTTTTTCTGCACACCTCTGCAGAGTTAACTACTCAATGACAAAGAGCAACAATGAATTTTCAGCAATCAAATTACGTAACAGATGAGTGATTTTACATTTACGCAAAAATTATACACACACATGTGTGTGTATATATAAATATATATATATATATAAAACAGAATATATAATTTTGGAAGTAATAATTACTAACTGCAATTTTTTACATGATTGGAATCCATCTATTTTCTTACACGCTTTTCCTGAGTGGGGTCGTGAGGGGTGCTGGTTCCTATCTCCAGCAGTCAATGGGCAAGAAGCGGGCTTCATCCAGTCCATCGCAGGGCAACACAGAGACAAACAACCACTCACACCTAAGGACAATTTAGAGAAGCCAGTTAACCTAACAGTCATGTTTTTGGACTGTGGGAGGAAGCCAAAGTACCCGGAGAGAACCCATGCATGCTCAGGGAGAACATGCCAAGTCCATGCAGAAAGACCCCGGGCGGGGAATCGAACGCAGAACCTTCTTGCTGCAAGGCAACAGTGCTACCCACTGCGCCACTAAGTGAATATGTGAACTAAATTGTTCATGGGGAGTATTGGCCTAGCGGTTGGAGCAGTGTGCTCTAACCCGGTTTGATCCACATTGCCTCCACTCTGGGTTCCTGAGCAAAACCCTTAACCCTACACTGCTTCCAGAGCGCTGCACAATGGCGGTTTTAGAATGGTTCCTCTGACTAAAGAACATTTGATGATGCTAAACCCCAAACCACAGCAGACCAGGTCTAGCACTGGTTCTCTTTGCAGAAATATCCAAACCCTTGATTGCAGAGGTAAATAAATAAAAACAAAAAAAAGATTAACTTGGACCATTGTTGCTTCCAGAGAGCCGCTGATTTACAATATACCCCTCCGCTGCTCATCATCACTTCTAACCGTTTCTTACTGTATGCCAGCCAACCAGCAACAAGCTTGAAAAATGGGAGCCATCTTGTCTCGTTTGTCCTCATGAAGGTAACCCAGCCCACATACACTGGAAAAAATCTAAATCTAGATAAGTAATTGCTTCTTAAAATAAGTGCTTTTCTTCTTGAATTGAGAAGGTAAAAGAGACATTTTGCCAACGGATGCAATTTACAGTTAAAATAAGAAAACGCATTTATATTGTCTTATTTGAAGTGCATTTTATCCAAATATCTTATTTTAAGCGTATAAATAGTCATTCTATTGGCAAATCATCTCATTTACCAACTCAAATTAAGGGTAAATACACTTTATTTCAGAAATTTTTACTTATATCTAGATCGTCTTTCCAGTGTAGAGATAAACCAAAATGTTGCAAAGACAATTTAGAGAGGTTTTGCACCATTAAAAATAATGTAGGATTCAATTCAGTTTATTTATATAGCGCCAAATTCACAACACATGTCATCTCAAGGCACTTTACAGTTCAACCAGATCATACAGTCAGATTGATACAAAGTTTTCTATCTAAGGAAAACCAGTTGATTGCATTGACTCATTGACTCTTCAGCAATCCCCCACACTAAGCATGCTTGTAGCGACAGTGGAGAGGAAAAACTCCCTTTTAACAGGAAGAAACCTCCAGCAGAACCAGGCTCAGTGTGAGCGGCCATCTGCTGAGGCCCACTGGGGTTCAAGGAGACAGAAGCAGACATAGAAAAAGAAGCATAGATACAAAAGGCAACTGTCAACCAGCTCAACAGGCGGCCCCGTCCAGGAAACACACAGCCAGGCAGACGAGCTCCGAGCCAGCTCCCATGTCAGAGGATGAAGAGAGCACATCCACTCAGTCACGGTCAGAGAAACAGGACTACACTGGAAAACAGGCCGATCTCCAACATCTACAAACAAGGGTGTTGATGGAAGCAGCACAGCTGATGTTTCTTTCCAGGATGACGTCACAGCCAAACAGGAACAGACGAGGCAAAGCTACTCTGAGGAAAAGCAGAGAGAGCAGAAGGTTAGAGATTGAACTAACAGATTCTGCAGAATAGGAGAACAGAGATAGAATGAAGCAGAATGATGAAATGGGGGTCCCTATGTCCTCCAGCAGTCTAAGCCTATAGCAGCAGAACTATAGAGATAGCTCAGGATAACCTGAGCCACTCTAACTAGAAGCTTTATCAAAAAGGAAAGTTTTAAGCCTAGCCTTAAAAGTAGACAGGGTGTCTGCCTCACGGACTAAAACTGGTAGTTGGTTCCACAGGAGAGGAGCCTGATAACTAAAAGATCTGCCTCCCATTCTACTTTTAGAAATTCTAGGAACCACTAGTAAACCTGCAGATTGAGAGCGAAGTGCTCTGTTAGGAACATAAGGAACAATCAGATCTCTGATATCAGATGGAGCTTGGCCATTTAAGGCTTTATATGTGAGAAGGAGGATTTTAAATTCTATTCTTGATTTAACAGGAAGCCAATGAAGAGAAGCCAGGATAGGAGAGATATGATCTCTCTTTTTCATTTTCATCAGAACTCTGGCTGCAGCATTTTGGATCAGCTGAAGGCTTTTAACTACAGTTTGTGGACTTCCTGATAGTAAAGAATTACAATAGTCCAGCCTTGAAGTAACAAATGCATGGACTAGTTTCTCAGCATCACCCCTGGACAGGAGATTGCTCATTTTTGCAATGTTCCTCAGATGAAAGAAGGAAATTCTAGAAACCTCTTTGATCTGGGATTTAAATGACAGGTCCTGATCAAAAATAACACCAAGATTTTTTACTTTATTATCTGAAATCAGTTTAATCCCATCCA